GCTATGTGGGTGCTCCAAAAGGTGGGATAGGGTCTGGGCTGAGATTCTTTCAAGGCTGTGTGGAAGCCAGTCCTTCAAGGGGGCTCTGGTCATCTGTGCTGTTGACTGGGTCTCTCTGATCTGCATCTTGGAACTTCATCTGTTTTGAATTTTCTCTTGCTCATGTCACACCAGTGATTGGTAGATGCTTTCCAAATCCTTACACCTGGTGGTCCTGGCACATTGGCACATGCATCCTTCTGTCTTATATGGTGTGACTTGGCAGAGTGACATCTTCTTACAATGCCCCTCATCTCATTCAGCTTTTATGTCCTGCCCCTCTGCTGGGGTCACCTCCCTGTGGTGTGGCTTTGGAAAGGTTGCTTGCCCTTGGAAATAGGCTCCTACCACAAACTCCCGAAGTCCCCACTTCCTGGCCCCAGCCTAGTGTTGGATCTCAAGTCAGTGCTTAAGGGAATTGTGTCATTTCATCTCTGTGTTTTTATTCTCATAAAGCCACAGGGAAGGCCTCCGTCTGTACACAGCCCTGCTGTAGTCTGGGCCCTGTGTGTCCTCCGAAGGTCTGAGTGTTAATGGATGGTGCTGTTGGGAGGTGGAGATGCCTTTAAGAGCTGAGGCCTAGAGAGAGGTCCCTGCGTCTTGGGGGCATGCCCTTGAAGGCAGCTCTGGGATCCCAGCCCTCTCTCCTCCTTGGATTGTGCTCCCTGGCTACAAAGTAAGTGATCTCTCCCTCCATGATATGCTGATTTGCCAATGGCCCCAAAGCAGGGCTGGGACTCCAGAGACTCTGAGCCCACATCAGTGTTTCCTCTTGCTGGCTAGTGACCCTGTCAGCTTGTTTGGATGGACAATTGGCCAGCACAGCCTCCAGCAGCCAGCCAGGTCTATGTGGGGATCTGTGATGGTCCAGGTGGTGCAGTCAGCACATTTACCTTAACCTTCATTCTAAGTCTGGCTCTGCTGCCTCTCAGTCTTGGTGGAGCATATTTTTCCACTTCCCCGTGTGTTAATTTTCCTCCTAAAGAAGCTGTAATGACAGGACCTGCCTCATTGGAGTGTTCTCAGGAGTCCATGAACACTCGGCAACTGACCCCCAGATGGGGATCAGTGAGGTTCTTCTCCATCTGCTTAGTACAGATCATGGAGGGTAGGAGAGCTATGCTGAGGGGAGTTGGCATAGACTCGGGGGCAGAAGGAGATCACGGGTAGGGACCTAGGGAGAAGCTTAGAGCTACTTCCATGTCAATCAGCTAGGACTCAGAATGGACTGGGGACACGTAGTGCCCACTGTCCAGGAACAAAGGGAGACTAGGGCCAGGGGACCATGAAGCTCCAGGTTGGAAACATGTGGTATCTCTAAACCCAAAGAATGCAAATCTCAGGCAGAGGAACCAGTTCTTCTCATGGTGCAGAGCTAGTTTTTGTTTCTGTATTTGCTCCTAGACTTTCTTCAAAAAGAATATGACATGGGTTACAATGAATCTCATGCATACAACATGCAAAGGGAAACATGGAAAGGGAAGACAAACAGAACTGTAGACAAGACTGGATGAAACAGTGAGTGTAGCCAGGTAGTGGTGACACACACCTTTAATACCAGCTCTTGGGAAGCAGAGCCAGGCAGATCTCTGAGTTCAAGGCCAGCCTGGTCTACAGAGCTGGTTCAAGGAGAGCTTCTCAATGCAGAGAGAAGCCATGTCTCAAAAAACAAAAATGAAACAAACCAACAGTGAGTGTGGCTCTGCTCCCTTGAGTGTCAGGAGCTACAGAGGAAAAGAGAAAACATCACCATCACAGAGGGAGTTTCCCAGCAGGCACCCTGTGGTACCGGTGTTAGAGTCTCCATTCCACACTGTGGAATTCCACCTTAGAGCTGGAGCTTGCACATGCCTGCTTACTGAGCACCTACTTGTGGCAGGCACCATGCTGGGTGCCTTGCACGCAGGGCTCAAATGTTTCTGTCCCTCCCAGGAAGTGGCACTCATCATTATACTCATGTGACAATGATGGAAGTCATGAAGATCAGGGGAAAAGCGACTTTCTTGGTGACACCAGGTAGTAAGTGTTCAAGCCAAACTAGGAGCCCAGATGAGCTTGTTTATAAGCATTTCCTTTCACTACCCAGTGGATGCACACACATGTTTATGTGCGTATATGGGGAGGCCAGAGGTCGGCATTGGGCATCTTACTTTGTCTCAATACTCTCTCTTTTTTTTTTAAATTGTTGTTGCTTTTGTTTTTTCAACACAGAGATCTCTGTATACTCCTGGATGTCCTGGAACTCCCTCTGTAGACCAGGCTGGTCTTGAACTCACAGAGATCTGCCTGTCTCTGCTTCCCAAGTGCTGGGATTAAAGGCATACGCCACCACCACCTGGCCACTTTTTTTTTTTTAGGCAGGGTCTCCTCACTAAACCTGGAGCTTATTGACTCAGCTAGGGTAGCTGGTCAAGATCTCCGATCTCCAGAGATCCTTTTGTCTCCACTATCCACCCACCCCACCCCACATACACACACCCAGCATGGGGGGTGACAGATGCATGCCACTGAGCCTGGCTTTTAGGTAGGTGCTGGGTCTCTGAAGTTAGGTCCTCATGTTTTCGCAGCAGGCACTTCACTGACAAAAGCTATCTCCATATCAAACAGCGTGTGCTCCAAAATCTTTGGCTTACACCTTTCTCCTCCTGGGGCTAAAATCTTCCCTTTATGAGGAACTAAAGCTAAGTATGGCAGGGGTTGTGAACCACCAGGCCTGATGGATCCTAGAAGGATCCTGATGGATCCACCAGGCCCAGGATCCTAGAAGGCTGGAGCGGCCAAAAGCTGCTGTTAGGAGCAGCATACCCAGAGTGTCCCAGGATATGGATTTTTTTTTGCCCTCCTTTCTTCCGGGGCTTTTTTTTTTTTTTTTTTTTTGACACTTCAGTTTGCTGTTTCTTGGGGCCAGGCACCTCCTCCAAGCTGAGCCAGCCTTTTATGGTGCTGGCTGTAGTAAAGTAACAGCGAGGCAGAAGTGCTTGGAAGGCAGTTCTGGGCGGCAGGCCTGGTAGTACAGCCAGCTGCCTTCCCCTACCCTCCTGTTAGCCTTGCATCAGGGACACTTGAAGTCCCTTTCTCCTGAGCTACCTTACGACCTACCAAGAGCAGCCTGAGGATGGCTGTGCCCAAATGCTGGCTTCATTTCTCCCCTGGGTGCTCTCTGCATGAGAGCAATGTGAAGATGGAAGGTTGCAGCCTCAGGGTCAAGGCCACCTCAACAGCCAGGAACGGCAACAATTTTTTGTCAGTAGAAGGTTACAGTCCCCCCAGGGTAGAGAAAGTGAATTTCTCAGGCTCTTTCCTGCAACTTTGTGTGAGCCAGGCTTACCTCCTCCAAACAAGGCAGGGGCTAGCCCTGAAAAGGACTCTCTCTGTAGACATGCAGGGCCAGGTGGAGGTTTTGGTGAGTGACATCATCCAGAGAGCAGGTTTCCCGGAGCCCTGGGCTTCTTTCCTGAGTTCCCTGATCCAACGCTTATGCCCACAAGCTGCCTGGCATAGAGTTAGCAGAAGACTCTGTGAGCCTCAGTTTCCACATCTGCAAAGCAGGGAACGGTGGGACCACCTTGTGGAGTGTTTGGGAGGGGTATGTAGGGAATGGAGCTGGAGCTGGGCCTGCACCCCAAGAACAGGGAAAGCCTAGGGAGGACAGCCTGTCCTCCATAAGCCTGGGCCTCTACATGCCTCATGTCACACCTGCACACGGATAGTGGCTCCTTCCTCTTAGAACCTTAGCATAGTGTAACAGGAACTGGCTCTCCCTTCCTCGTCTCTCATCCTCCCCTACTGTCTAGCTTTTTCTGACGCCATGCCCTGAATATACGCTACCAATTACAGTTCTCAGAAATTGTGTCTTCATAGGTATTCCTTACCCCCCCCCCGCCCCCGTCACACACACACACACACACACACTTCTCACTTGGTAAAGTCCTAGCTGTCTATTAGGCTTTGTTGGAGCATGCCCTGATGCACACTACACAGTCATACCTGTGCACACTCTCCAAGTAGGGAGTGGGTACTAGTCGCTTGACATGCACTGCACACACTTGTGGTGTGCACATATGAGGCATCACTCTGTGAGTAAGCAGTGCATGTGAGTGTTCTTGTTCTGTCTAGTCTAGATGGTGAGCTCCTGGAAAGCAGGAAGCATTCTACCTGCCCCATTAGGTATTCAGTAAACACCTATGGGATAGAGGAATGCATTACTGCTCTAACTGAGCAATATGTTTCAGGAATTTTTTCTTTTTTCTTTCTTTTTTAACCTATCTCCAATAAGTCAGGGCCACCATGCACAATGAATGAGTTGGAGAGTGTACCATCTATATGGCCATTCCCAGAGCCCTGGGTGTTCATCAGTCACTCCTGCACTGGTTAAGGCCACTGGTATCCAAGGCTTCCTTACTGTAATTAATATTTGCACAATTCATAATTTACAAATCAATTTTCACAATAGCATAATGAGATGGCTCCTATTTTGGGGTCTTTCCCTGGGCTAGCCTTATCTCTTTCAACAAAAGTAGAGGCAGGCTCAGAAAGGACCCTCTGGGTGGACATCAGGTGGAAGCTGGAGACCTCTGTGAGTGAGGTGCACAGAGTTTGCCAGAGTTTCCCGGGTGCCGTTGTTATTTCAATAACAGTTTTCCTGGGTGACCTTGGTATTTCAATGTCCTTGTCACAACCTTACCGGGCAGCCATGCTTATTACACCCTCTTCACCAGTGTGGAAACAGATTTTTCACTGAGTGTGGGAAGAGTGGTCCTGACATTTAGGCCCTCTCACTCCAGCACGCCTCCCCCGGAAGCCACCAGAGGCCTCGCGCATTGGTGGTCTGAGCTCTCCCCCAGCCCTTGCTCTCCCGGCGCACTCCCTGTTCTGAAGCCCCACAGCAGTAGCACCATGGCTGAGGGATTCCTGACTGGGAAAGGGAGGAGGCAGTGCATTATAACCATTGGGGGTCAAACCTGGGTCTTCCGCCTTAGCTGCGTTTCCACAAGCAGGTATCTTGGCCCTTCTGTGCTTCCATACTCTCCTTTGCACGTGGGAGATAGTACCGCCAAAGCCTGAAGGTTTGCTGTGAGGATTGAAGTCTAGGTGGGTGCCCAGTTTAGTACACGTTAAAATCAGTGTCTCTCTCTCCCTTCCTCTTCTGGCAGGCTAGGGGAAACAAAACAGAAATCATTTTTTAAAAAAAAAAAAATTTAGAAAGCAATTTCTATGGCACTACCCTGAAGGAAACCATAGCAACCAGCTTCCTGCAGTTCGATTTCCGGCCTTCCCTGCTGTACAATGGCCCTAGGACACAGCCTTTGTTGTCCCGGTACCCCAGGGAACACAGGGACGTCACAAACTCCGTGGGGTGGAAGCATTGCAGGCAGAACTGCCTGGGCTGTCCAGGCATGTCCTTCTGTGGTCAGGCCACAGAGTTGCTGTGGCCTCCCACTGGCGACTCGACTCATCTTCTAAGGAACTCTCATTGTGGTCAAGCCCAAGAAGCTGGCCTCTCTTTTTTACGGGGATAAAAGCGAGCAGCATTCTACTGGGACCAAAGAGCTTCCTGACTCTCTTTAGATCTTGAAGATGTTTCCTAGGAGGCAAAGGCCGCAGAGTGTCCTGTGATTATGTATTCTTAAGCATGTGTGTGCATGTCAGCAACATCGAAGCAGGGCAATGCGTTTGATGGAAGGATGCCAGCCACAGAGGATGGCCAGCTGGCCCTGTGGAGTGACAACCGCCCCATCCTCAATGGCCTCGGAAGCGAGCTGTGTTCTGATCCAGACCAGGACCTGGCCTAAGCCAAGCTGGGTTCTGTGGTCTGGCTGTGTGTGATTCCCAAGGGGAGTCAGCTCGGGCATCCAAAGGCATGGCTAGATACTGGCCCAATCCAGATCAACTGCTTATAGAGGTCTGGGGCTATAGGGACCAGGGCCATGTGCTACAGGGAAGGGCAAGATGTGCCCAGGTTTGATATCCCTGAGCTTCTGAAATGATCCCTACTGCAAATGGAAGGTCCTCCCCATCCAGTCCTCCTAGGTGCATGGCCAGAGACCACTAATAAATGCATTGCTTTATTTTACAAAGAAGGAAAGTGAGGTACCTGGTTTATGTCACACAGCTTACCAGGTACACAACCAGGGCATTTAGGGAAAGAATCACTCTTGAAAAGTATTATCCCATCTCCTCAACTGAAAGATAACAAAACTGGGGTCCAGGGAGGAAAAGAGGCTTCTTGGGGTCACAGCATGGGGAAGGCAGAAGCCTCCTAGGTTCTGACCATGTGAGTTAGTGACTGGCCTATCCAGGGGACAGCAATCTATGGCATGTGGGCCAAACCTGGCTGGCTGTGTTTTGCAAACAAAGCTTGAGTAGAAGCAAGCCGAGACCACTCATTTGCATATTGTATATGGCTGCCTCTGTGCTGTGACAGCAGGCCTGAGTGCCTACAGCTTAAAATACTCACTATGAGGCCCTTTAGAGAAAAGGTTTCTGACCCCTGGTCTAGCCCTCTGAAGTTTTTCCAAAGGCCTGAACACTGCTGGCCACACTCCCAGCATCCTTCCTCTCTGAAGGGAGACTCCATCTTCACAATCTGGCTGGGGCCTGACCAGAGAACCTTTCCACAAGGAGAGACTGTGTCAGTAACGGGAAGGAAGCAAGGGGGCAGAGGAAGCCCTCTTCTGAGGGGAGCTTCTTCCCAGCTCATATCTGGAGAAAGCACAAGACAAGAAGAAAGCTGGGAGAGATACAATGGCTTGCATGTGTGACTATGCACTTTTTCTGTTACAAGGTCCTTGAATGTAGGGTTGAGACTTTGTGGTAGCCTGCGTAGCTGGGTTAGTGGTCCCATTTAAAGTGTAAGAAGGTGAGGCTTGGAAAGACTAAATACGTGCCCAAGCCTTGTGTGTTCACCAACTTTCCATTACAACGCCTAAGATAACTGATGTAAAGAGGCTATTTGACTCTGGGTCTTTGACTCAGTATCGCACAGCTGATTGGTCCTTTGCTTTGGGGCCTGGGAAGAGGTCTTCCTCATGGGGAGGCACGAGATAGAGCAGGTGGTTTCCCTGGCAACCTGTGTGTGTTTAAAATGTGAAAAGTCCCTCATCGGCTTTTGTGTTTGGTACTTGTCTCTCAGCTGGTGGCACTCACTATATTGGAAGGTTGTGGAATATTTAGGAAGTGGACACTTGGTGAAGGTAGTGGGTCCCTTGGTGTGGGTCTCGTAGCATTTTTGCCCAGCCTGAGTTTTTTCCTGAGCTCAGTTTTTTCCTGAGCACTGTCTGGCCACGGTGTCTTCCCCACCCACCATGGTGGACCATGTCCCTTTGAACTGTGAACCAAAATAAAGGCTTCCTCCCTTAAGTTGCTTCTTGTCCAGTGTTTGATCACGGCAATGAAAAAAAGAGACTAATGTGGCCGAGAAGCAAAAGAGGGAGAGACAAAGGCCCCACACACTCCTCAGGGGCATGGCTCCAGCGGGGCTTGCTCCAGTGACCAAAAGCCTGAGCCGGGCCCCACCTCTATAAGTGAAGCTCCAGACTACAACACCTGGCGTGTGTTGACAGTGGGTCTGAGCTCAGGCACAGAACCTGGATGACGGAGGGCATCTCACCCGCCTCCAAGGACCACACTGTGAGCCTGAGGCTTTTTTTGTTCTCCATCAATGTGTACTGAAGTCTCTTTCTTGTGCCCCGTCACTGTGGAGATGTGCTGGGCTCTGAGGTGGACAGAAGGGAAGGGAAGACAGAAAGAGACACAGAGGCTGTCTGTGAGAAGCCATCCGTAAGGAGAGGAGGCCATGGCTTCAGGATCACTCACTGTCCATGATGGAAATCGGCAGGGATGGAGGGGAAGCCCTGCTGGGCTGTGTAAGCAGCCTGATCAGAGCAGACACTAAGGTGTGAGCTTATGCAAGGCCCAGATGCCCAGAGAAGCAAGTCTCATTTGCCGAAGATGCAAGACGAGCCTGTGGAGAAGAGCCTGACACGGTCCATAGCATACACAGTGAACCAGCCTCCTTCAGTCCATCAGGAGCCGGGATAAAGTGACCTTTTCTTTGTGTGGACTAACAGTGATTGACATGGAAAGATTCTATAATGAATTGCTGCATACAAAACAAAAGAGTAACAACATGTTTGGGGAATTTAAAAAAAACTCTGTGTGTGTGTGTGTGTGTGTGTGTGTGTGTGTGTGTGTATGTGTTTATCTATGTAGGTATGTATGTACATTGTGTATATGTGAGAACAGGTGCCCATGAAGTCCAGAAGAAGGCATTGGATCCCAGAGTTACAGGTGGTGCTGGGAACTGAACTCAGGTCCTCTGCAAAAGCAGTACTTGCTCTTAACCACTGAGTCATCTCTCCAGCCCTCTCAAAAGCAAACTTTTAAAAACTGTTTTAAAGTTCAACTCAAACATCACAAGCCCCCGGGCATCCTTCTGGCCGCCTCAGCGCCGCCCTCTACCTGCTACGACCTTCTTTTGCAACCATTGTCCACAGTGACCCAGTGACCCAGACCCTTGATGTGAGCTTCCTGCGGACCGGGGCCTTTTCACATGGAGTGCACAGAGTGAGTGAGCTACACACACCCAGGAGAATGGGACAGAAGGGTGAGAGGCCAGAGAGCTCTCACACCAGGGGCCTAAGGCAGATGAAGAGCGGGAAGTGTCACCTGGAATGAGGGGCGAGGTGATCGTGGCAGGAAGGGGTAGGAAGGTCTTCCCACTTGGCTGGGTCTGAATTCAGAGGTTAGGCTGGAAAGCAGGGGGAATGTGGAGAGGGTCTGGGAGTAGACTGGGGAGCTTAGAAGTCCTGCAGGCCTGAACCTCTTCCAGAATGGCTCCTGCTCAGCTCCCTTCCCCCTCCCTCCCCTCCTCCCCTTCCCTCTCAAGTGCCCCTGGCTGGAGCCTCTTCCTGCCTTCTTGGCACCAGAAGACCTGCTGGCTTCTGGCCTGAGCAGTGTGACCTGCTGCCCATGAGTAACAACTGGGCCATTCCGAAGTGACTAAGCTGTCACTTAGCCCCGTTTCCCGTAACCGCCAAGGGAGGACTCACTCTGAATCACTGTTTATTGTTTTGGTTTTTTTTTTTTGTCCTTGGCTTCCCGATTTTTGAATTTTTGAATATCAACCACCCTAAGCTGGCTAACAGAGCTGAATAAATACTAGGAAACTGCCAGACACCCTCCCTACAACCTATTCATGGAAGAGAGACTCCGAGCTCCCTTGCCCTTACAGAGACAGGGCTGACCTGAGTAGGAACCCTGCCTGTTCTCCTAACTGCTCTGTTCCCCTGGGCTGTTCATTTCACTTCTCAGAACTTCCATTTTTCTTCTATAAAAAGGGGTAATAATGTTGTCATGTCTATAAAGCGACTGGCTAGGGCAGGCTTTCCAGTATAGGGAATTAATAAATATAAAGTGTAGCGCCTTAGATCCCACATGAGCACACCTGCCAGAAAGGTGTGTGCCCCAGACCCTGTCCACCTGTCACCCCACAAAGGCAATGGTAGCCTTCTCAAAGCACATGTTGGGAGTGCTGCTAGATAACTTAATTCTGTCCACAGCAGCCACCATTTACAGAGCACTTGCTCTGAGCCAGGTGCCATACAGAGCACTTCCCATTAAGTTATTAAACGGATTAAAGTTAGTTGTGACTGGTATTGGTTGGCTAACTTCCTAATGAGAGACGGAGCCAGGACTTGAACACAGATGGGGTCATGTCGTACATGGAGACTAGGTTTTCTTGGGATGTCCCATGGCAAGGGGTAACTGTCAGGCAACGACACCACACTAGGAACTCAAGTATCATTCATGCCCAGCTTAATGTGCACAGCAGTTGTGTAGTTCTACTGTGCCGTGGAGGGAAGCTGAGCTTTTACACAGTGAGGAGACACCCGATCTGAGTGGTGGAGCTGACGTGTCAACCCAAGGATCTTCAAATCCAACATGGTTCCAGCACTGTGTGTGCAGTGTGGGAGCTGGGACGTACTGACCCGGTCTTCTGGAAGCTCATTGGCCTGATTGTTCTGTATCCATGGCTTCAGTCTCTGACTGGAGCGAGCAATGGGATCCCATCATGATGAATCCCTTGTTCCTTCACACCAATGGTCTCTGCTCTCAGGCTCTGGCCAACCTCCAAAATGCCAGAATTTGGGGTCCAGGAAGTAGCTCTGCAGAGATCAGCAGGCTCACCAAGTGGTTTTCCTGTGGGGACAGACCATGTCAGGTGTCTGACAGATACTTCCACATGAAGGAATGTCCCTGCAAGGAAACAGCTGTGGGCCTGGATTGTTGGGGTAGCCTGTGTGTGTGTGTGGTGTGTGTGTGTGTGTGTGTGTGTGTGTGTGTGTGTGTGTG